GTAGAAACAGATGGGATGGGAGCTAGCTGACTGGAACCCAGTATCTTCCAGACTTCAGACTTGTCCGCCCCCTCGGGTATGCAGCCAGGAGGGAGCCACTGGGGCCAGGGGGGCTGCCTTCTCTCTTTTGATTTTGCTGAGAGGTCTGGACGTGGAATGTAACTCCTCAGGAAATCATGAAATTTGTGGCATGGCCTTTAGCATGTTAGGTCACCTGCGAAATCTGAGTAACTCATACAGTTTATTCGCCCTTTCAAATAGTAATTCATAACGGAGGGTTGAGACTTGCATTACTGAAGGCTTTTATTTAATGAACTATTTCAAAATCAGACATTACACCAGATTGAAAAGGACACTCGGGACGTCACTGTTGTTCTTTTTATCCGTGCACCCCTGAGTCACAGCTAAAATGACTCTACATGCCAGGGTGATACCCAGCCTGGGGCATTCTTTGACATCCTTTTTCTCATCTCCGAGTTCCCCCCAGTAGTTGTCATGACCTGAAGTGTGGTCCAAGGGAAAACTGCTGGATTGTTACCCACACAACGCTGGGTGTGTTTCTGTAGCAAAAGCTCAAGAAACAATTTGACCTCAACATCCACCGTTGGGGCCCTGTGACCTCTTTTCTGGAGTCCCCTGCAATTTAGGCAGCGGTCCCCACCCTTTTTGGCACTAGGGACCGGTTTTGTGGAAGACAATTTTTCCACAGTTGGGTTTTGGGGAGGGGAGGGGGGATGGCTCAGGTGGTCATGGGAGCGAGGGGGGACGGCAGATGAAGCTTTGCTCACCACCTGCTGTGCGGCCCGGTTCCTAACAGGCCGGGGACCAGGTACCAGTCGTCGGCCCGGCGGTTGGGGACCCCTGAATTAAGGAATTTACCAATAGCTTTGGGGGACAGTTCCAGGAAATTCATTTTTATAACCTCCCTCAAACTGAATAAAGATGAACTTCTGAGATTTTATCAGCATTTCAGAAGAGGAAACCACAGAATCACCAACAGCCATTTTCAGCTTCAGTCATTAGATTCCCACCTGATCTGAAGTTTTGAAGACACCGTTGTTGAACTGTAGTTAGAAAAGTCCATTACCACCCTGGGCTGTTGTTGGGTTCCCCCCAGCTAAGCCTGGGTGATGGGTGGACATTTCCTAAGTCAGTGGGTCTTGGTCTGATTGACTTTTCCTTCTGATATCCTTCTGGATAAACAGCAGAGTTTAAGGAGCAGAGGTGGGTTTCTGGACCCGGTTCAGAAGCAGGAAAGTTGTGGAGATGGGACAGCTGCAAGGAAGAGGCCCCCCGGAGCCCAGGTGACTCGGGGCTGCCGCACCTGTTGCGCTCCCCTGGCCTGGGGGCTAACCTAGCAGCATCGGGCGGCTCCGGGGGCCCAGGCATCCTCCAGAACCTCCCCTTTTCCCTGGCTGGTCTGGGGATCTGGAGCAGTTCCATACTCATTGCCGAGTTCCTTTTTGGAGTATTTCCCACAGTGCTGTGATGTAGTTATACGTTGTGAGTTGACATATACCAGTGTCACTGGGTTGTCTCCGATGCCCGTTTATTAGTGTTTTAACAACTAGGAATTGGGGTAGATCGAACAGTTGAGGGGGTGAGTCATGGTTCAGTCAGTGATGTTCTTTATTTCCTGCTGTGGGTTTTACAACCGATGTGGTCGCAGGTGAGGTACAGGCTGTATCAGGCTGGGTGAGAGGCTCTGGGCTGTCCTCCAGGGGCTCCCGGGGTCCGAGGGCACACACATGCAAAGGACTCTGAGAAACACGTGATAAGGGTCACAACAGAGGCATATAATCCACATTGCATGCACACCTGGTTGGGAGCAGATAGCCCTCTCCTGGGGATTGTTGAGGCAGGCTCATCCCCGGAGTCCCTTGGTCCTTTTATTTTTTTTTATTTTTATTTTTTATTTATTTATTTATTTATTTATTGCATTATGCGGGCCTCTCACTGTTGTGGCCTCTCCCATTTGTGGAGCACAGGATCCGGACGCGCAGGCTCAGTGGCCATGGCTCACGGGCCCAGCCGCTCCGCGGCATGTGGGATCCTCCCGAAACGGGGCACGAACCCGCGTCTCCTGCATCGGCAGGCGGACTCTCAAGCACTGCGCCACCAGGGAAGCCCGGTCCTTTTATATTTGTGCATTTTGGATGAATTTCTGGAGCACAGGTTTGAGATTTTAGCCTCATCTCTTTAGACAACTCTGAGTGGTCACCCAAACCCAGATTCTGAAGCAAAACTGTGCACATGGATTGATATACAATGTTAGGAGCTTATGAGCATGCATGCTGAGAATTGCCTGAAAGATGAGTCAGGGAAAGAAACAGATCTGTAATCTCTGGGGTCGGTTTGGACTGTTGTCAATTGTCTCCGTTTCCAAAATGTAAAATTAAGAACAGCTTACTGTCTTGGAGGCACTTGTTCGGATTTCATTTTATAAGATAAATATCTCCAGATGTAGCTGTTTTATGCAGAAGATTTCCAAGGCAGGGGAACTAAGACTTGAGTACGTTGTTTAAAAAAACGGACTTCACACGATCACAGTATTATTAATGGTATGGTTTTATTTTCCAGAAACTGTATTGCTGGAAGCAGCACTTAGATATACATTTTATCTCACACTTAATATCGAACCACTAATAAACCTCATTAGCTAAAGTATCAATATTCCTATCACACCCTCTTCCATTCTATCCACAATATCTATGTCTATTTTGGTTTAGAATTTGGATTCTTCTAAGGAAATTGCATTGAGCACCATCATATGTTTGTCTTTTAATGCACTGGCAGTTTTCCATGATGGGAGTTGAAGTTGAGTTCGTCTCAACCTGGTCCTGGCGTGTTATTTAAAACTTCCTAACTCAGTTTTCACGTCTGTAAAATGGGGATGGTAACACGTATCTCGTTAAATAAGATGGTGGCTGATCGTTTGTTGCACCCGGTGGGCATTTGAACATGCTGTTTCCTTCTCCAGCTCGTATTACATACTTGGATTCTTTACCTTGTGTTTTAACATTAATTTAAATGTTAGAAATGAACTACAAGGAGGATTTTGTTGTGGAATGTTCTTTGATTGAACATTCCAGCTTTAATTGGATTAAAAAATCAATTCTCTAAGGCTTGGGCTTCTTTTTTTTTTTTTTTTTTTTTTTTTTTCTTGCGTTATGCGGGCCTCTCACTGCTGTGGCCTCTCCTGTTGCGGAGCACAGGCTCCGGACGCGCAGGCTCAGCGGCCATGGCTCACGGGCCCAGCCGCTCCGCGGCACGTGGGATCCTCCCGAAACGGGGCACGAACCCGCGTCTCCTGCATCGGCAGGCGGACTCTCAAGCACTGCGCCACCAGGGAAGCCCATGGGCTTCTTCTTTGTTGTCTGTTCTGCACATCTTTTTGTTTTTTTTTTTTGCATGTATCTGTGTCTCTGGGGATGTGAGGGACGAAGCATGGACTCCTCCCCCGCCACTCCAATCTCCCGTGGTCTCAGGCCTGAAACTCCTGAATCAGAAGTTTCTGATTCTGCGATACTTTCGTAGCCTTGAAGATAGGAGTGGATTCCTGTTGTTTTATGGGAAATGGAGAGTCCATTTCTAAAAGTGTGACAGCCTTCACTTTTTGGACTGAGTGATGCTTTGATGTGTTCCACTCCCGGATTGCTGTTTTGTCTGTTAGGGCAAAAGAGATGGACCATTGGACAAGTACGGAGAGCCCATTAGAACAATTCCAGAGAGTCGTGCTCATACGAAAAGGGTAGGGCTAACTTAAATAGGTGAAGATGCCAAAATCATTTCAGTTCAGCTGTGGACCTCAATTGGCAGGTGTTCTTCTATTGAAAGATGTTTTCTCTTATTTCCAGGGTGGGTGTGCTGGCTCTGGCTGCGGGAAATGTGACTGCCATGGCGTAAAGGGACAAAAGGTGAGTAGCCCGAGCTCCGATGACAGCAATTTCTCTTGAATTGCCATCACTGTGGAAGTCATTAGAAATGACATTAAAACAACCGAATAATCAGCAAGTCATGTTAAAGCCTGATTACCGTTTCAATAATTTCCCCAGAGAAATACAAATGAAGCAAAACCAAACTTAACAGTATTTTTGAGGAATCTTAACTGCTCTTCCCCAAAGATTGTAATTATGGGTGGCAATTAACGTTAAGACAGTGATTTGGTTTATTTCCTTTTTTGACTGTAGAAGGAACAAGGATATTGGCAGAAAAGCTGTTGAGTCAATAGCATTCTTTGGAATTAGTGCATGAGAACTAAACTCAGCCTTTTTCTGAAAAAAGAAAACATTTATATTGAACTCTAGAGCCTTCTCTTCAAATTAGAATTTTTAAACAATTGTAAATTAATAACATACTTGTCTAGATTTATTTACAGAAACAGTAACTATTTATTGTTTCCCAAATGCAAAATTATAATATTTTTTTCTAAGCAAGTACTCTGCCTCTGTCTTACTTGAAGAATCACAGAGCTGGATAAAGATTATTTTCGCTTGAAGGCAGGCAGTTGTTTTGAGAGAGGGTCCTTACCCGGGGACGGTGCCGCATCCTGTAACTGTCTGGGGGTCACCATGGAAACTGGGCGGGGCGGTGAGACAGCATGGCCAGTGGGCCAGTCAGTGGGACCCACAGCAGCTGGGGCCATCTGGAAGGGAGGGAGGGGCCCCCGTGGACCTCTGCCTGCTTTCTGGGACTGGAGGTGTCACTCAGTAGGGCCAGGGTGCAGATTCTTCTCTCCCTTCTGTTGTGCCCAGGGCGTATTGGGGCCACACACTCACACTTTTGAAATTCAGCAAATTCTACTTTACAGAAAATTGTTTCATTTCTTTTCAGCTATTTGCTGAAGTACCAACATTATTCTTTTAAAAAATACGTTGAGGGCTTCCCTGGTGGCGCAGTGGTTGAGCGTCCGCCTGCCGACGCAGGGGACACGGGTCCGTGCCCCGGTCCGGGAAGATCCCACATGCCGCGGAGCGGCTGGGCCCGTGAGCCACGGCCGCTGAGCCTGCGCGTCCAGAGCCTCTGCTCCACAACGGGAGAGGCCACAGCAGTGAGAGGCCCACGTACCGCAAAAAAAATAAAATAAAATAAAAAATAAATAAATAAAAAATAAAAAATATGTTGACAGTTGGTGGCACTAGTATTACCTGGATAGGTTTTTGAATAAATGAGGTATGTGGAAACATTTTTATATCTTTCATCATCAACTTTATCAACTCTAATTCATCTTCAGGTGCTGTTCCTTCTCTTAACTTGGGAAGTTTTTCTAGCTAGTTCCAGGCTGCATCCTTGAGAGGAGAGGCAAATCTGTTCATACCACAGATTCTTTTTCTGTATGTGTGTCTAACTTGAATTATAAGCACGCTGAACTAACAAAGAAATCCTTCAAGCTACAAAAAGTGGAACTTTCAACAAATAGGAAATGGAGACCTATATCAACACTACTTTGCTTTTCTTGTAACTTAAAGCATCAGGGGTCAGGCAGAGTTGGTGTTTCTCACTCGTAAAGAGCATGTGTCCATTCCACCCGCTTTCTTGATCTCCACTCCCCTCCATCAGCTGCAGACCTGGTGGCATTTCCCCAGGCCCTGGTGCTTTTCAGACTTCCTATTCTGGTCTTATGTTTTCTAGCCTGATTCATTTGCATTTTAACCAAAAATCTACCCATTGTATACAATAAGGTAGATTTATCCAGGTGTAGCTTTCCAAATATTTTTGGCTGACTTCTCGACTTGACGGGGACCTGGCCCACGTCAGTTCAGAGCTGGCAAAGCATCGTTCGAGATGGCAGGTCACATCTCACTCACAGGGGGCATCTGACACCCACCCCAACAAGGAAAGGGTCTTTAAGTGTTTCTTTTCAAATCCAAGCATTGAGGAAGCCCTTGCTGTGGCCAGTGTGTCAGCAGAGGCTAGGTCTGTGCTTATCGGGGACACAGGAACATATACTGTAGGCCCTGCCTTCCACTTTGGCACGGGAAGGTCAAAGTGGGAAGGTCACAGGACCTCCGTGGTCCTTCCTGGCCTGACCTGCTCCCTCAACTGTCTGCTCCATTGCCCACTTTGGGTTTTGTACCTTATTATTAAATAAAGACTATTTAAAATAAAATACTGGCAAGCTTTGGGTTAAACCATTCTGAATTTGTGTTTTAAAAGGCTGTAATTTTTTTATTTTTTTATTTTTTTTTTGCGGTACGCGGACCTCTCACTGTTGTGGCCTCTCCCGTTGCGGAGCGCAGGCTCCGGACGCGCAGGCTCAGCGGCCATGGCTCACGGGCCCAGCCGCTCCGTGACATGTGGGATCTTCCCGGACCGGGGCACGAACCCGTGTCCCCCGCATCGGCAGGCGGACGCTCAACCACTGCACCACCAGGGAAGCCCAAGGCTGTAATTATTGAATGGATTCAGATGGCCTCTCAAAATTTAGGGGACTAGCTAAATGATTTAGTATTATAGCCTTTAAACAGAAATCGGAGCTCTGTCTTTTCTCGCCTTGAGCATAAATATTTCAGGTCCTGTGGTTCACATAGCATGAGCCGGGAAGAGGGCCTCCCTCCCCCTGAAAGAGGAAATTTTAAACTTCCACTTATTGTCTCGGACGTGATGTTAAAATAATCAGTTTAACGATGGGAAACACCCAGAGCTTGACTGAGCTGGGACTTCAGGTCTGGTTCCCTTTCTCTCATCCCAAGGTCAGATAACAAAGAAACGTATTCTTGGTTGGCACATCAGCGAGAGAAATTGGTCTCCTTCATCTGCCACCACTGTTCTCAAAGTGGGTCCCGCACGTGCTAATCGGGTGTAAATGCAATAAATGAATAAAGGCTTGAGCATCACAGAATTTACATCGAGTGGTTCAAATCACAGGCCTGCTTTTTGAGCTACTAATGCCTGTTTTCGATTCTCATAGGAGTTATTTTGCTGTTCTCCAATGTGTACAAGTTAAATGACGTGCTTTTGCAAATGGGACGATAGATGCCATATAACTCAGGGAGAGTTCAAATTACCTAACTGAGGCAGAGTGTCAACTGCCTGAGAACTTTGGAAACCGTTGTTTCTGAGAAATGCCCCCTCGAGGATCACTTGAACATATTGGCTATTTAGAATCCACCAATGGAAATCAGAATATCTCCAGTATAAATTGCCAAATCCCTTTTGGCGAAGTCCTGCGTTCCATGGAGATATGATTAATTGACAGAATGTCTTATATTCTCCAGATATCATAAGCAAATATGAATGCATTAGATCATTGGTTGTTTTACAATCTTGTAGTTATCAACATAGTGCTAGGGATCTTATTCTGAGTTCAACAGTTAAACTCACTGAGCCTTTCACTGGATTTCAGTCTTTGCTGACTTGTTTATTTTCCCACTTCCCTGGCTGGCCACGCAGATCTTCAGATGTTTTCTCTAGGTAATTAATTTGGGTTTGTACACAGTGACGTCGTGTCTTTCCAGAGGCCTCAGCAGTGTGGGAATGGTATCTCCTTAAACTGATTAGGGTTTTGAATGCATGCCTCCTCAGATAGAGCCAAAAGTTAAGCTCTTATTTTGCTCAGTAACCTGATTTTCTCAATTATTTGAGGTAGTGGGAAAGGCAACGTATTCCCAGGAGTTACTGCCATAGGCCGGGAAATTAACCATTTATACTTGGCAAAAATTGAGTTTGCACAAGAAGTCATTCACGTATTTTAACCACAGGAGCCCACGTTTATGTAAAGCTGCCATTCTATTCTGTGACCCTTGCGGTGTCCAAAGAAGGACACCTCAAGTTCCCTTGAAGTAAGAGAGGTAAGAGATATACACATGAAATAAATAACAAGTTAAGAGTAAATGATCTAATTGCAGGAGGAACAGCAGAGAAAACAAGTGCTACAGTTGTCCTGAGAAGGGAGTGATCCCAGTGGCCTAGGACCATAAATAAAGGGACAGTCTCCTGGGTGAATTAGGTGATGTGTTCAATGATTCTTCAGACTCACCTGGATATAGAATAGGGTCATCTGTCACACAGCTGCAGAAAGATAGATGCTGAATTTAACTACATTGATCAGAGAAAATAGCCCCTGTGGCCTGTTGATAAATGCTACCATGGCAAAGGGTTGATGGTTCCTAACAGAGTGACTCTTGAAAGGGACTTTCCCAAACCGCAGTCTGGGGAGCACAGAGAATCTTAATGAAGCAGAATTGTAGTATTTCTAAGGAATGATGAGAACAGCGTAGGTGTCTCATAGCTTCTCAGAACACTTTAACCTGCTGATACCCAGATCCTTGCCAACAACGTGGGGAAGAAACACATTCTCCTTTTATGTACTAATTAGACTGTCTGTAAATCACAGCCCCTCTCTACATACCGGCTCATCAGATAGTGCACTCCCAGGCTGCATTCAAAGCAGAGAGCTCTGAAAATGGAATTCCTGTCTTCTTGTCTAAAACACGTAGATTTAGAAGAGTTGGATTTAGAAGAGTCTGTCCAACCTGAAGTGATTCCGTTTCCGGCCCTGGAAACCTGGGGAGAAGCTTATGTTGCTTCATGCCCTGCGCTGGTGCATGCTTCTCTCTTGTTAGGGTGGATGGTCTGTGGCTTCACCAGCCCTTTACCTCCTGTGTATACTTGACACAGTCAACAGACATCCCACATCAGACCTCCATGTAAACCTGTCTGTCTGCACCTGACATTGAATTATAACCTCTGCTTAGACATGGCAGATCTCGGCCAGAACAGAAACATCCTGGCTTTGGAGGGTCAGAGTGAGAAAGAGAAAGGGGCTGATGTGTACTGACTGTGTCCCTTGGGCCAGGCACAGTGCTGAATCTTTTTATGCTTACTATTATTCTACCCATTTTACAGTTGAAGAAACCAACTAGCCCAGGGTTTCTCAGCTTTGGCACTATTGACGTTGTGGGTGGGATGATTTTTT